GATTATTGATTTGGGAATTTATATTGCTAATGTTTACCAGGTATTTGATGCCCAAGTGCGTGCAACAACATCTGTCAGGTATTAGATGTTTGATACTGCATTCTTTAGGATATGCTTTAATCTTGACAGCTTGAGACTTTTTTTTTTAATACTGCATTCTAGTGATAATTTTTGGATGGCATAGTTGGGTATTGTTGAAATTTGGGTATTTTGAATTGAAATTGCTTAAATTTAGGTATTGTTGAATTGAAATTGTTCAAATTTGGGTATTGTTGAATATCTCTCACCGACTCACTGTAAATCTGTTTGTCTCCTTTTTGCCTTATTTTGGTGTCATCGTTGCTCTCGAAAGTTGATTTTGAGAATTCAATATGCGATTTTCAGTTACTGATCTTAAAAGCACTTAGTGTTCTATGGGAAATGGCTGCCATGTGCTATAATGAGCAATGCATATGTTAGTTGACATCCTCTTTGTAAACTTCTTGTATCTTCATACTGAAAGAACTAAGTAGCATTATGATAAAACTAGCTAGTTGGCCATAGCCTATTACGATAATGATCAATCTTAAAGATTGCCTTATAATGCATGCTTTAATTTCTAAATAAACATAAAAAACCTGTAAAACAGAATACCTATGGGGACGAACCTTAAGGAAATGCAAAACCACTCTAAGCTTAAACAAGTCTTACAGGATAAGAAGTCTTACTCAAAATGATAGCATAAGTTCCATTCTCTAACCCACACTAAATAAGAAGAAATAAACTCGGCATCATATAAGAGGTTACAAACTAGGCCTTCATCTTCTAGATTGAGCCTCTTGCTAGTACTCTAGATTATCTTAGTCAAATATGAGCCGTAAAGGAGTGGGTAATTTAAGTACTGTTTTTTCTCAAAGTTTGTGTTCGACTAAATTGTGTCCACCCTGAACCAATTTCCTGGCTCCGCCCCCTGGACGCGAGTACAATTGAATTCCACATCAACCTTTTCAAATAATTCTCTATCGAATAAAAATTAGTGATAGCCAACAAACAAATTTAAAAAGAAAGTGATGCTTCTTGCTTCTAGTATGATACAAATACCTATACCTCCATCCATCTAGTGCGCACTTACAATGGTCGGGCATCCGCTCCTTCAAGGTGGTAGGGGATCCGCTAGCGGGTAGCGGCTGCGGATTCCTACATCAACAACAAAAAAAAAAAGGAAAAAAATACTCCACTACAATAAAATGAAGGGAAATTGGAAATGTCGCCTTATTTACATATGCATTTTTAAAATGGCCATTTTAAAAACATTT